TTGGATGGCCAAATACATTTAAGGCTCTTTTTTGTGTATAACCAAAAAAAAAAAGTTATGAAAAATGGGATATGTGGCAAAATGTAGACCATTGGATTTGGGATTTTTGGTTACTTTTTAAATTATAATTTTGTTGTTGTATTTTTAACAAATTATCTCTCCATTTAAAGAGATATAACTACTTGATGCATAAAAATATTCGAAGATATACATAGATGCTATACATAGGTAGAACATTACGCACAGTGTTGGATAATTAGTAACATTTAAAAAAAATTATTATTTTATAAATTTTTATTAGATTTTTTTTGGTTCTTTCGTGAACCATGCTTTTCTTCAACCAATATTTTTTTTGTGTGTTCAATTTTTCAAATAAGATTACAACTATGACATGGAGAAAGTCCAATGAATACTAAGTCTATGGTTAAATTTGTTTATGCTAGTATATATAATTTTATCAACTAAAAAACAACTATAACATGGAAAAGGAATTCCTTGAGCACTAAAAACAAATCTTCATGATAATGTCCAATAAATATTGAGTACACATAGATAAAAATATTATAACCGTGCATTTGCGTTTTCTTTTTCATAGAAAATCATCTAGTATTATGTTCTCATTAATATTTATTTTAGAAGATGAGTAGTTAAGTTAAAGATGAAAAGTCATCGAAAAATATATTGATGAATCATAAAATAATTTTGTAATTATTTGTTTTAATATGATGTGTCAAAGAAAGAGATGATGATGTGTCAACTAATATATATATAGGATACAACTTAAACAAAATAACGTAAACCATATTGATTTTAAATTATTATTTAATTATTTATTACAGTTGATGGAAATTATTATTCCCTTCTCACTTTTGGTAAAAATGGGCCTGACCAATGAAAATAACAGATAAGCCGAAATTGATTGGGCCATGGAAATATTCATCTGTTGAGTTGAGCAATTGTTTCAGTCAAAAAGGTGCTTCTAGTAACCCCTATCAATGGCTTTCTGCGTCTAAATACCGAAAATACCCTCACCATCTACCTCTACCTCTACGTTTTCAATTTATTTAATTTTCAATAAATCCGCGCCTCACTTTTCTTCGATTGTTATCTAAAAAAAACCCAGAAAAATAAAATGAGTAGTAACTCATCAGTCTTTGTCCGAAGCTCAAATTTCATTGTCTTGCTTCTTCTCTTCCTTAATAATCTCTTCGCTTCCTTCTCCGTTGTCTCCTCCGATGATCTTGTCTTCTGTAAGCTTTCTTTTCTCGCGCCGTCTTTGGTTGGAATGGTTTAGGGTTTTCTTGTACTTAAATGTTTTTAGCTTAGAATCACTTTTATTTTAATTTTACATATAAGACAATTGCGATTGATTTACACCCAAAAACCCCCAAAAAATTTCTGGTAATTTCGTTGTTATTGGCAGTTGTGGGTGAAACTAGTTCACTACAAGTGACTCCGAGAATAGAGGTGATTGATTCTCCTGGTCTGAAGCAAGGTACAACATCGATATGTGAGAGATTACATATCCATGGATTACAAAGACTTAACCACATTGATAAGTATGCACACTCACTAAAGTTGATCCTTTCTCATAATGCTTCCAACAACAGTGTAACAAGAACAAGTGTAGACGTTTGCTTCCACAGGTAAAAATCCAGTCTTTTTCAATCTCAAGCTTACTTTTGGTTAAAATCCAGTATCATTATTGGTTTTTTCCGGTTTTGTAGGAATTCGTCGCGTGCAATTGGAATGTGTCCTATTAGTCAGTGGAAGAAAGTATCCAAAGGTTCATGGGTTGGGGTAATGT